TGGATTCATGGATTCATCCAAACAAATGATCTGTTAACCATTTAACACTAACATTGAACAGCTACTAATTTTATTCAGAATTTGATTACTTGATTACTGGATGTTCCTGTAAGGGCCCTATGAGTGATTTATTGAGTTAAAGCTATAAATCCCTTTTCTACATTTGAGATGACTGTGACAGGCCCTTGATTGTGTGTTGGTGTCCAGCAGTGCAGCTGTGTTTGTCTGGATGTGTATGAAGTGATGGATGTGTCTGTCTCTCTGGCAGGACTCTCTGCTGAGCTGTTTTCTCAGTATTGCTGATCAGGTGCTGTTGCCGTCTCTCTCTCTCATGGAGTGCAACGCCTGCATGTCTGAAGAGATCTGGGGCTTCTTTAAACTCTTCCCCTACCAGTACAGGTACAGTCAGCTCATAACACAGCACTGATCTCTTAAAGGTGGGGTAAGCGATTTCTGGTAGCCAATGTTGACATTTGAAATCACCAAAACGAACACGCCCCTACCCCAAAAGGGTCTCTCCCCTATTTTGATAGCTCCGCCCCACACATACGTACGCAACCCAGGCAACGATTAGTTCTGTGAAACAAAGCAAAACCAATGTTACCTTGTGTCTACACCGGACACGAGTGGTGCGACAAAATACTATAGAACTCATTACAATCAGTGATGCTGTCTACACCATAGATATACAGTATATACATATCTGTGGTCTACACTGGATGTGGCACGACACGACAAATCCCCGACAGAAAACTGCTGCTGCGTTCTATTCATGACGTACTGACACAAGTTTCAAATGATTTTCAACGGTCGCTTTGATCGCGTCCAGTGTACTAGACAGACTTTAGCTGTTGTGGCGCAGACACAGTGTTACTCACCTATCGAGAAGAAACAAAGCAACCTCGGCGTCCGATCGCAGGCCTTCCGCTCCTTGAGTTCTCTCCAGCGCTGGAAAGCTGATCCGATATTTACACGGGTCCTACTTCTTGCCTTATTGCCTTAAGCCTTCTTTTGTTCTGCAGACATTTTCCTCTTTTGTTTTATTTATCCGCCATCTCTATTTTTCTGTCGCTCGGCTCGCTAATGTCCGTCCTGTGCACTGAACTCTTTCTCCTCCACATCATGAGAAGACACACCCCTTACTGCTGATTGGCTACAAGTTTGTTTTGCGACTCAGTTTTCTAAAGCGTTTTTGAAAAATCGCTTCCCCCCCACCTTTAACCAACAGGTCTTTCTGCACTGCTCTGTATATGAGCAAAAATAAATTCAATAGATCTTATGTAGCTCCGCCCCTTTTTAGCACTGCATCCATTGTGTCCCGTCTTCTGGTTTGTATTTCCACAGCATGAATGTACGGTCTTATGGATTTATGAATGAGCACCTTGTTTTAAAATGTTCCCAGTCTACTGACATTTCTGACAGCCGCTCTAAACATTACAATACTCATGATGACTTTTGTTAACTCTACACTAAGTAAATCAGTGCACAGTGTTCCTGTGGCTCAGTGGTAGAGCATTGCGTTAGCTGCGCAAAAGGTCGTGGGTTCGATTCCCAGGGAACACACATACTGGTAAAAAAATGTATAGCCTGAATGCACTGTAAGTCGCTTTGGATAAAAGCATCTGCTAAATGCATAAATTAAGTATTAAATCCACTTCATTAGCTTATTGCTCTTCAACTGGGTTAAATGCAGAGCACAGTTTCCAAATATGGGACACGATACTTGGCTATACGTAGAAATATACAGAGCTACCGCAAAAACAGAAGTTCAAACACAAAATTCTAAAGATGGCTGTGCGCTCGTTTCTCTGGCGTGTTAGGTTTATAGAATAAATTAAATTGCAATAAGCTAATGACCTAATTGGTAAGGTTTTGGGTACACGCCACATACGTAGCAAGGCTTGTTTCCAGTCGCATGTTCTATTAAAGGGGATAGTTCACCCAAAATGATCATTTACTCACCCTCAAGATGTTCCAAACCTGTAGGAATTTCTTCTGCTGAAGATATTTTGAAAACTGGCTAACAGGTTCTGGTCCCCATTGAGCTTCTATAGTATTTAGAATTTTCTTCATATTGTGGAAGTCATTTAGGGGCAACAACTGTTTTTGGTTACACACATTCTTCAAAATATCTTTTGTGTTCAGCAGAAAAAAGATATCCAGGTTTGGATCAACTTGCAGATGAGTGAATGATGACAGAATTTTCATTTTTGGGTGAACTGTCCCTTTAAGTACAATGTGGGTTTACCAAACAGAACTGCATGCAGGACTGCGGGTTCAGTGTACAAACTTGAAAACCTGGATGCAGTATTTCTGGGCTGGTTTATGTTTGAATAAAGTCAAAGGATGCTTTCAGCTCGTTGTATCTGTTGGGAACTGTCAAATGTGATTGGGGCTGTTTTATCACGGGAGTCGTTATATCAAATGATTGTTGTGTGTGATCATATACCAGCTGAAGAATATGAGGCTGCTTTTACTGCTGCTGTATATATTGCATGCCTATTCTCTCATGATATTCCCCCGTACACTAATCTAAACGCTGTCAGAATGCCTTGATGAACATGATGTAGGTTTTCATTACCTCACGCGTGGATCTGTGTGTTGTGTAATTAGGTATCGTCTCTATGGGCAGTGGAAGAATGAGACGTATGGCAATCATCCACTCCTGGTGAAGATCAAGGCTCAGACGGTAGACAGAGCCAAATACATCATGAAGTAAGTTTACTTTCTATCTGAATCTAGATCTCTTCTCAAATACTTCAACAAGCCGCTGCAATATACTCCTGTAACTGAGCTTCTCTGGCCTGTAGTCAAGTCACCTTTATTTCTGTAGCGCTTTATACAATACCGATTGTGTCAAAGCAGCTTCACAGTGCCAAACGGGAAAATAGTTTGTCAATAATGCATGAAGTTAGAAGAATTCCTACTGTTTAGTGGATTGTCATGATTAAATCTGAATTCAGTCTTCATTAAAAAAATCCCTCCACACATCACTTTTGGCCACTGTTGTGTTTGGTGGGTTAAAGCCACAATAGTTAAGACCCTGCTTACTGTGTCATCACCGGTGCATTGCTGCATTTTTCCAATTTTCCAGCCCAAAAAATTGAATTACTACTTTAATTTCTGCAGCTGGAGTATTGATTTGTAGAGTGAAAGAAGTTATTACATTTCTTATTTGGTCAGTTACAAATAGAATCGACTATCTTGACGATCAAGTTTGTATCGTTTTATCAACTCCTATCATCATAAAACTCTAAGTCATATCTTCATTGGAAAGTGTGTGTCTCCTAGTCTTAACACTTAGGAATCTTTATGAATCACTTTTTTACTTAAGTCTAGGAATAAGAGTAAAATTACGCCGTTCTTAGAATTTTTACATAAGACTAAAATTTTACTCTTGAGTGGCTTTATGCATACGCCCCATGGGGGCCATTTTGTATGCGTTTTCTTAACATTATTTCTTATGCTCTAATGCTAAAACATCCTGCATTAAAAGAACGGTTCTATAGAAACTATCATTTGCTCACACATGCTGCTCTAAATCTAAATTTCTTTACACAATAGAAGAAATGCTATTCAATCTGTTTGCCACTCATTTCCATACAAAGTAACTGCATGGAGACTCGGACTCTGTCAAGCTGCAAAATGATGAAAAAGCCCCATTAAATAGTCCGTTATAACTCATGAGCTGTACTTTGAGATTTACAGTGACTTTGTGTGATCCAATAAAAGTTTGTAGTGCATTGAAAATATTGCCCTTCCACTGGCCAAGTCATACAGATTTGGAAGGCACATTTTTGAGTGAACTATTTGTCTAACAAACAGGTTAATGTTACCTAGCTAACTTCTAGATCCTCACTGCTGAGGAGATTGCCGAAATCCCTGTTTCTATGGAAAAATCTCTGATTAGTGGGTCTCCACACAGAATTATGGGTAGTGTAGTTTAATTTATTCAGATGAGGATTGTTTTAATATGTATTAAATTTAAGGTGTGAAATCACAGATTTCGGTTTTCTAGAGGAAGCATCTGTTTTTATAATTGCAGACAGACCTATTGTGAGTTCTTAGGTTGTTCTGTTGTGTTTTTACCTTTTCAGTCCCTTCACTGACTTCAACCATTGCCCTTAGACAATGTAGATTTAGGATGTTACATCACCTGAACAGTGCAACTTTAAAGTTACTTCTCCTGAGTCTGTGTGTGTGTGTGTGTGTGTGTGTTCAGTCCCTTGTGCATAGAGATGAGCTCTTTGAAAGGGCTTGCAGAATTGCTGCATCAGATTCTTTGCTTTCTTTTCTAGTGCGTTGAATAAATGATGATATTTTGGCAGATAATTGGATGGAGAGCGGAGAATGAGCTGAGGCTAAACGTGTCAAAAGTGTTCAGGGAGAAAGAGAGAGGGAAGCTCAAGGTCGTCTGTCAAACGGGCCAAGTCGAACCCTCGTATGTGTCAGACTGCTCTCAGCCGCTGTTTGTAGCTGGTGCAAGTAGTTTTGTGTTTTTCAAGTGTTGAATTGAAAAACTAAGCTTAAAGGGGTCATATGATGCTGCTAAAAAAAGAACATTATTTTGTGTATTTGGTGTAATGAAATGTGTTTATGCGGTTTAAAGTAAAAAAAAAACACATTTTCCACATACTGTACATTATTGTTTCTCCTCTATGCCCCGCCTTTTTGAAACGCGTTGATTTTTACAAAGCTCATCGGTCTGAAAAAGCAAGGTGTGCTGTGATTGGCCAGCTATCCAGTGCGTTGTGATTGGCCGAATACCTCAAGCGTGAGACGGAAATGTTACGCCCCTTACCATACTGTTGATGCCCTGTCCGGCCAGAGCGATGAGACAAAAACATTAAAACCCATTATAAACGAGGCATTTGTTGCATTCACAACGAAACACACAGCGGCCTAGCGTGAGCCAAAACCCCGGCTTAGCGTGCGCTGAGGCTGGGATAGAGTAGGCTGAGGCGGCGGGGTCGAGAACGGCGCACCTGGCGAATGCGACGAATGAGCGGCAACCACATGTGATGGACCCCGGGCTGGACTCCGCTTTATCCACGGTGAAAGTTGATGTATTCCCTCAGCGA